TAAAAGTTCATATAAGTCTGAATTGAATACACCCAGATTTTTAAAATCTTTTTAAACGCTTTATAATCCTAATTGAATACACCCATATTTGAATGGACTTTTTAAAAGTTCATATAAGTCTGAATTGAATACACCCAGATTTTTAAAATCTTTTTAAACGCTTTATAATCCTAATTGAATACACCCATATTTGAATGGACTTTTTAAAAGTTCATATAAGTCTGAATTGAATACACCCAGACTTGTAAAATCTCTTTTAAAGTTCGTATAAATTCAAATTGAATACACCCAGATTTTTAAAATCTTTTTAAACGCTTTATAATCCTAATTGAATACACCCATATTTGAATGGACTTTTTAAAAGTTCATATAAGTCTGAATTGAATACACCCAGACTTGTAAAATCTCTTTTAAAGTTCGTATAAATTCAAATTGAATACACCCAGATTTTTAAAATCTTTTTAAACGCTTTATAATCCTAATTGAATACACCCATATTTGAATGGACTTTTTAAAAGTTCATATAAGTCTGAATTGAATACACCCAGATTTTTAAAATCTTTTTAAACGCTTTATAATCCTAATTGAATACACCCATATTTGAATGGACTTTTTAAAAGTTCATATAAGTCTGAATTGAATACACCCAGATTTTTAAAATCTTTTTAAACGCTTTATAATCCTAATTGAATACACCCATATTTGAATGGACTTTTTAAAAGTTCATATAAGTCTGAATTGAATACACCCAGATTTTTAAAATCTTTTTAAACGCTTTATAATCCTAATTGAATACACCCATATTTGAATGGACTTTTTAAAAGTTCATATAAGTCTGAATTGAATACACCCAGATTTTTAAAATCTTTTTAAACGCTTTATAATCCTAATTGAATACACCCATATTTGAATGGACTTTTTAAAAGTTCATATAAGTCTGAATTGAATACACCCAGACTTGTAAAATCTCTTTTAAAGTTCGTATAAATTCAAATTGAATACACCCAGACTTGTAAAATCTCTTTTAAAGTTCGTATAAATTCAAATTGAATACACCCGGATTTTTAAAATCTTTTTAAACGCTTTATAATCCTAATTGAATACACCCATATTTGAATGGACTTTTTAAAAGTTCATATAAGTCTGAATTGAATACACCCAGATTTTTAAAATCTTTTTAAACGCTTTATAATCCTAATTGAATACACCCATATTTGAATGGACTTTTTAAAAGTTCATATAAGTCTGAATTGAATACACCCAGATTTTTAAAATCTTTTTAAACGCTTTATAATCCTAATTGAATACCCCCCTAAATCCCCGAATTTAAAAATAAATAAAAAATAAAAAAAGTAAAACAGGTATATGCATGGTACGTGTATGCACAAATTTGGTGACGGACTGATAGAAGGATCGGAGCTTGAGAGGGAAAATGGGAAATTGGGTGGGAATGGACAAAGGGTTGCACCAAATTGAGGATCAAGGAAGTAAAAACAAAACATCTACAAACAGTGTGAGAATCAAGGTGCGTATGACTAGCAAGCAACTGGAGGAGTTGATGGCGGAGCTGCACATAACCAAAGGCCCCGATTCAGAGCTAGGCCACGTGATCCTCTAAGATTGCTTGGAAGGTAGGCTTGCCACCAGTTCGTGTTGTTGCTGCTGATTTTGGGAATCGTGATCAGGTATCAAAATATGGAAGTGGTTGGAAGTTAAGCACCATTTGTGAAGGAGGAGAAGAAGAACATGAGCATATTTTGTAATAAGAACTCATTAAAAATGTATATTACTTGCATTGTTTTCATGTGAGTAAAATAAGTGTTGCAACATTACTTTTGTTTTCAGCTAGGAAAATAATTGTACGTTTCTTAGTAACTCCTACATTACTGCTAATAACAGTTTAACATGTGCATAGAAATTTTTCGTTTTGTATTTTGGATGAATTATTTTTACACTTATTTTAAACCGTGATTTGTAGGAATAAGGAGTATCTCTTTTTCAGGAAAGGAGGCAAGAGTATCCTTTCAGTTATTGATAGTGCATATCCATGGTTTTACTTCACATAGAATTTAGATTGGAATTGTGGAATATTGTCGAAGTAGATCCAGAGATATTGGATTTCTAGAATACTTTAATTTTTCTTGAATTCATGTGAGTTTCTAGAATACTTTAATTTTTCTTGAATTCATGTGAGTCATTTTCATATTACCAAGCAAACTCTGGTGAGATGCATGCATTTAGCCTATTTTGCCACGATTATATCATATCCATATTCCCTAAAGCATACGCTTCCTTTTCCTTTCTTGCGTTCTTTGCATAGCTTTCTAGGTTGAGTTTCCCTTTTTTATTTTTTGGTTTAGATAGTTGATTGTGCACCTTCAATGTGAATGTGATATTGAATCTTAGATGTTCTTTGTTTGGTATTATAAATAACTTAGAAATCCTGGATATAATATTCACACAAGATTTTGTATTTCATAGGAATATTTTGATGGCTATTATTATTATTTTTTTGGTTAAAAAATGTTTAGAGAGAAGGGAGGCTACTCTATTCCAGGATCAGGGCATACCAAGGCCGATGGCTATATTTTTAATATTATTTATATAATTAAACTTTGCATTTAGCGATAGCAAACGGAAACTCTCAATTGTTATTAGAGATGAGTATTGGTTGATTGACTCTGAGTTCCCTCCTCCATCTCGATGTCAACTTGAAATGGAGTTCTGTGTGCCCATCAATCTTGACTTTGATCCATTCCATGGCCGCTATGATTTCTGTCAAATCTAAACTGGTACCGCAGAGTTTTATGTAACTCGTTAAAATGGTGGTTTGTTTGAGAATTTCCTATGGTATTTTACTAATTCAACTTAATTAACGCCTATTGCGGTTCCATGAACTGCTCCTCTAATTGTCCTGCATCAAATTTTTTTTTACTTTTGTTTTGTCAAGAGGCATGATTACATGCCACAGTAATTAACTAATAGTCAAATGAATAATAGGACGATGACACATTACTTAGAATAAAGCCAGAGAGAAAAGACCAACATAACCCAAGTCGTGCGGCAACTATTGATCCTTGACGAAGAACTTGTTTCTAATATAAACCATACATTTCTAGTGGTGAAAATGGATCGTGTATTTAATGAAGACGTTGCCTTGCCAACCAATTCTAAGAGATACACATGTACGTGCGGATTCTTTTCAGTCATTTGTATCCACGTACGCCCACAAAGAGGGATTGATAGAAAGGAATGTTAGAGCGCTAGCTTCAGAGGGAAAATGGGAAATTGGGTTGGGAGGTACAAAGGTGTTCACCCAACTGAAGATCAAGCAAGACATAGAACTTCATCGTCATCGTCATCAAACAGTTTGAGAATCAAGGTTCGTATGACTGCCAAGAAACTCAAGGAGTTGATGGCGGAGGTCGACGTGACCCAAAGCCCCAATTCGAATTCAGAGCTAGGCCGCTTGATCCTCAGGGAATGCTTGGAAGGTAGGTCTCGCGCTCGTTTTGTTGCTGCTGTTGAGAATCATGAGCAATATTCAAGGGGTTGGAAGTTGAGCACCATCCATGATCATAGTTTGTAAATTAAGCTACTAGAAGTAAAATAAGTACTGTTGCAATTATTATTATTTATGATTATCAGTTATTGAGAGAGTACATATATCACTTGTAAATTGCTCAAGAGGGAGTTTTTTATTTTATTTATTTTATTTTTTTTATTTTTTTCCTTCAACGTATGTGAGTTTGGATTAGCAAGCAAACTATGGAGACAAATCAATGGATCTTTTTATGGGTAATTGACATGCATGCATTTAGGAGTGTGTATGGTTGTGAGAAAACGCTTTTAGTCATTCCAAAAGCACTCCCAAACAGATATCTCTCTTTAGTAACATCAGAATTGAATTCCCATTTTTAGAAGATTAAAAAAGTTAATTTTCGTTTAAACAACTTATATTTGGGTTGGACGGATTGAGTGTGGATCCGGGTGTGTCTCTGACCACCAATACGTGCGCCAAAAGCATAGGTGGTTCATGTAGATGCCTGATGTTTTATCTTGCTTTGGCACACGGTTTCCAATAGATATTAATTAGCAAATAAAGCAAACAAATATTAGAATTTAGAAGCGACTCACCGAATTAAAAACTGATCACAAACACTAAAATAAACATCTAGAAACGAGGTTCAACAAGCAAGCATGCAGTGCAGCAGCTACTTGTGAAGCTTAGATGGGTTTTTCTTAAATTACAGTGACGTATTTCGAATTAAAACTTTCACACTTAGATGGGTCCGCGAATTAATTATGATTTGATCGAAAATAAAAGAATTGTGAATCAACATATTGTGTGTTGACCTGAGACAAAGCCATTCACATCCTAAACAACCTTACGGTGCCGTTTGTTATCTGTATGTGATGCAGATATTCTAATTTTATGTATGAAATCGTAAACAGAATGTCAAACTAAATCTCTGTCAGTTCTTCAATCATAGGAGGTGTGGGACCATTTCACGCGCATAAGACATATGTTGCAGTGATTTACTAAATTAAATACTAAATTAATTGCGAAAAATTCACTAGTGTACATATTGGTTTGGAATTGCATTCTCAGACAAGATTCTGGGTTCGAGTCCTACTGTGTCGTATGTGTTGTGAGTTTAGTATATTATCGTCCCTCTCAACAGGAAAGATCCTAAAAAAAGAATCTAATTAATATATCTATATATGTAAACACTAATACAATTTTCCAAGTTGTGCTGTTGCTAATTGACCAGTTTTGGTATCTATATTATTAATCTTCTTCTAAGTACGTCACCCAGAGGAAAAAATAATAACCATGCATATCTTGTGGTGACATGGAATGTGTTTTTAATGCGAATCTTGTTTCTTTAATTTTCAAACAAATATAAAAAGACTCCCACTTCCACTAGTTTGTACTCAAACTCATAGCAAGGGTTTAATTAATAATTTGCTACAAGGGTTAGAGCTCGAGAGAAAATATGGGGAATTGGGTTGGGAGGTACAAAGGTTTAGTGCGTCCAAGTGAAGATCATAAAGAAATTCGTCACAGAACATCACCAAACAGCTTGACTATTAAGGTGAGAATGACTACCACGCAACTCAAGGAGTTGATGGCGCAGGTGGACATGATGAACATGGCCAAAGATCGAAACTCGGAGGAAGTAGGCCGCGTGATCCTGCGAGAATGCTTGGAAGGTAGGCTTACTGCTGGTATTGTTGCTGCTGCCGGTGAGAACCATGGTGATCTCAAAATATGCAAGGTGTTAAACACCATTTGTGAAGAAAAAGAAGAACAACATGAGCATAGTTTGTAAGGTACTAAAAATATATAGTTTGTTGCAAATCTTCTTTGTTTTCATTTGAATAATAGAGTTTGAACCAAAACAAAATCAGACAGATGGATATGTATAGAATAAAATGGGTTGAAATTTCAGTTGTTGACAGTAGATATATATATCAATGGAGTCTTTGAACCAAAGTTAGATATAGAGACTGTGAGACTTCAATTTGCACCAACAGGCAAATACTTCTTCTGATATTCAATATACCACATAGATATATACCTATATATGTACATATATCGTATGGAAGGAATAAAAGGGGGAAAAAGCCAGAGGCCTTCCCTTACTTAGATTTACTAGCTAGCAAGTGCAATTAGTACTAGTACTGCTACTAGCTGGACAAGACTTTGAAAAACCAGTAAATCTCTGGCTAGCATCTATTCACCATGTGATCCATGTATCAGGCTTTTTGGTTTTTGTTTTGGTCTAACATGTTCCAGGCTCATAACTGCGGGTTTGAATGCATTTTGTTTGAAAAACCTGACCAAAGGGTAAATAAGGAAAACATATTGAAAATCTAAATTTAATGCATTATTTCTTTATAATTAAATTTCAGAATTTAAATTTTGAATTCTTTTGTTGATAATATTTACCTAATTTAATCAGTGATAAGTAAAGAACCACATATTATACCAATTGATCAGACAAGCACTCACATGAAATTATTTACCTAACATAACATATAGGTAAATAGTGTTATTATTAGCAATGAAAAAACCTTAGTGATAAATTGTATTACTTATAAGTCAGGAACATAAATTAGAAAACTACCTATAAGTCAGATACAAAAATAGACATATATATATATATATATATATATATATATACCTATGTAATGGGCAATAGGACAATATACGTACACCATAGGATAATATATGTAAAAAGTATATAATAATAATATATCTATATAATTATTATAGATGTTGTAATTATTTTGCTATAAATTAGTTTTACACGATTTATACTTCAGGGATGTAATAGGAACAACTAGATTATTTAATAATAATAATAATAATAATAATAAATCTACATCATAAAATACAAAAAAAGGAATGTAATCCTAATTGGTAGAAAAGTCGAAGGACTTACATAGGTTAAACCTATGGTAGAAAAGTCAAAGGACTTGCATAGGTTAAACCTAACTTATGTTCTCCATTTTGGACTTATCCCAAATTTTCTTAAAAAAGGAATTTGCAAAAACCAGGTTTTTTGTTTTGTTTTGTTTTTTATAAAACGATATTAGGGGAGTGGAAAGTTAAACATAAAACATCTGATGTAAGGATAAATACTTTTAACCACTTAAGTTACAAACTCCTTGTAACCTTGTCTTAAAATAACGGATATTATAAGAACTCTTTCACGGCCAATTTGATTAATTGTGAACAAATCATTAATATTTATTTGGGCCTCATTAACAGATATGCCCACTCTTTGTTGTCTTCTTTGGGTTTCGAGGCTCTTCATATCTCCTAGAAGTGCAAGACTTAAATCTTTTCTGACATTACTGGGCCGCTATAGCCATCCCAAAGAATGACAAGGCATGGATACAATGCTAGCAAAATTATAAAAAATAATAATAATAAAAATAAAAAAACAGAAAAAACAAAGGGTAATGATTTTCCCACTCCAATTTTATTCACTTACACTTATTTTTTAGTTATAAAATGGAGTGTAAGTGAATTAAAAAAGGAGTGTAAGTGAATAAAATTGAAATAGGAAAATCACCACTCAAAACAAAAACAAAACACAAACAAAAGTACAGTAGAAAATTCTTATTACATTCATGTGATGATGTGAGTTGGGATGGGATGGGATGGGAAGGTGGAGAAAGTGGGTTAGTTGTTTGTGGGGTCTCTTTTACTTTTTAAGAAAACAAATTAGGAGGTTCGTGCAGTGCATGCCATGCCAGAACATCAGAATTTCTGCCTTGCCACGTTGTAAGGAGGAGCCGACTGAGTGAGAGACTGCCAAGCTCTGATGAAACTAGATACTCGATGATATAGATACCCAATGTGTTAAGGAAACAGTCAAACAGACAACAAAATTGTCTCAAAAAATTTCACAAACCCTACGTTTGACTAGGTCTTCTTCGTCTCTCCACCGTTGGATGCCCCAATAAGAGTGTGCAAGCGCAATCCAAAGGCTAGGATTTGATGATGGCTGGATGAGGTATTTGATACCTCATACACAAGTTGCCTATAGAGGGTTTAGGGTTTTGAGGATAATAATGGAAAGGAAGGCACTGGCAAGAGGCATGTGCTTTGGCTCTGACGGGTTGCTGCTTGCCTGCCTGGTTTTGCAGCCTTCATGTGGATAGTACGACACACTCCACATTTCCTCATGCCTCCCCCCCTTCCTTCCCTTCCCTTTCTCTCTTTTTCTTTTCATGGGTTTTCTCAATTTCCTCAGTTCGGCTTGCTTTGCTTCTTGTCTTCAAGCCAGCCTAGCTAGCTTTGTCACCTTCTTCATTCCCTCTCTGACTCGAATTTTTATGGCTGTTTTTGTTTTTTACTTTCTGGTTTTTACTTCTCTGGATACTAATAATTAAAAACTGTGGGATGTTATGGTAATTGGTTGGTAACATGTGGTTTTACTTTTCTCTATCTTTTTGCCGAGAACATGCATGCGCATCATTTTCAATTCAAAGGCTTTGTGTAAGTTACTTGTTTAATATTAACATATTTATCTTCTCCATTTTCATTTGGTAGGATTCAAATTAAAAGATATAGCTTGCAAATTGCAAGCAAACAAGAACATGAGTCAAAACACATTTTGAATCCTGCATGTGCTGAGGCACTATATAATTTCTTAATGCAGCATGTAACCCTTTTCAGCATAGACATCTTTCTTTTCTCAGCAGTATTTTTTTCCCTTTCTGCTGTGATCCCAACACGAACGAGGTTAGGATTCTTAGTGTGGGGGGACCAAAAGTTTAAAAATCACTTCCACATAGCTTTCTCATCATCAACTAGAGGATCAACACTAAGTTAATTGTAGAAATCGTATTATTATATGTATTGTAATACATTACAAGGGATTGAGAAAAAAATACGAAATGCAGGACCACGGCAGGCCTTCGTGTAGATCCGCCCCTGGATCCCAAGTTTTTGACTTACAGCTGCCAAATCCTTCACATCAAACTCCCTACCCGAGCAAGAGCTGGTGCCAATGTTTGTTTGCATTATGACAATCATGTGATCCACAATGACAATACATAATATAATAAACCACCCCAAATCTCCAATATATTGAATTTAAGCAAACATGATCTACTTCAAGTATTACATGTTGAAACCGACCCAAGCTCACAAACAAGCAAAGCAATAAATTGCCACTTGCATCAACATCATTAGCTATAGCTAGGTGTATATATATATGCGTTGTTGACTTCTAAAGCGATTTGATTAATCAACAAACCTTAATACATTTTCTTATATCACAACAAATCTAGTGATTGCTTAATGGTAAAAGTTATCAGTAGGCCCGTATCAATAATTATGATTGTATATATGGATATATAATTCTTCAATATCTTATTCATTCGTAAGAAAATATTTTCTTGTGCAGCGGTAAAAAAATAATGCTCTTTGTGAAGAGAGATACTATTTCATCAATCGAATTATAGGTGTCTAACATATTCATACCTAATGATTTTCCATAAAAAGGTAATGAAAGATATAACTTGTACACAAATCTTTCTATTCTCCAATTCGATCCGATAAAAATTTGTTTGTAGAGCAATTTACTCGATCATAGACGATGCACAAGCTGTAACGCAGTTGGATGATAATTAAGTAGGCAAAGCAAGAATCTTTCCCAATGAACCAATAATGGGGCAAGTAGATGTCATTTTCTAACTCCTTTTACAGGATACTGAAGATCTTATCATCTTAAGCTCTGTGTGAATGTGTATGTGCATGGCCATGAATGTTACCCAATCAAATATTTGCTCAGCTCACCCACTTCTCTCTCAAGCCCACAGCTTTGTTAGAACTAGCCGCCAACAGAGCCGACAGTGAAACCAAACATGAGAAGAAAAATGAACTTAAATAAATAAAGTATTTGTTCGCAACTGAAAAAAAAAAACAGAGGTTTGACCGCGATCTCTTCGAGAGTCCAAAGCCGTTGTGTGGTAGAAGACAGTCATGATTTCGGTTCCAGAGTTTTAATTATATATCTGGTGGATCTAATTACCCCCACTATATTACCCTCTCTCTCTCACTCTCTCACTCTCTCTCTCTCTCTCTCTCTCTCTCTCTCATATATCCCATTTGACCATCATAGACGCCGCTTACCACGCATACCACTGGTTCTTCTTCTTTTTTTAATCATTGTAATTATTTTACAAATAATAAAATCCTTTTTAATGATACTCAACACCAAATTAAGAATAAATAATGACATGGGGTGCCCCTTATTTCTTCTGCCATATTTGATCCATAAAAAAAGGGGACCCAAAATTGTCAAAATGGGAAGCCAAAAGAGCAAAGAGAGTGGAGGTCGAATTATAGACGGCAAGTAAATCTGTCCATGCATTGATGCAGAAATGGAATGGTGGGCAAAAATGGGTTTTCATGAGACTCCAGTTAGGAAGAAGAGCTGGGTGTTGTTAACAAAAACAGAGGTGCCCACATTTATTTAATTAGTGCCCAAATTTATTATTATTGATTACCCTTAATAATTTTCAAAGAAAAGATTTAGAAGGTTGTGCCAGAAAGTTTTGGCCCACCAAAAAACAATCCCATTTCCTGTACTTTTTCGGTTAAGAGAATAGCTGCAGCTTTAGAGAGAGAAAGAAAGAGAGGGTTTTGAAGTTGAGAGAGAGAGAGAGAGAGAGAGAGAGAGAGAGAGTCTCAAGGTATCATATCTCAGAGAGACCCACCAAATGCCATAAACAGAGCAAGCAATATCAAGAGGGGTGGAACAGAGAAAGAGAGAGAGAATAGGAAATGGAAGGTTGAATACAGCGAAGCAAATGTTCATGCAGACCCACCCCCCACAAATGTAAATATTATTAAACCAATATTTTTTGTTTGTTTATAATATTTATATTCTTGTTTGATATTTTGTATATGTATATATATATATATATATAATTGCTTATAGCGGTGAGAGAGAAAGTGGTGATACAGCAAGAAAGGTTGGTCCTTTGGTCTCTGGTCTTCCATTTTTCATTGGACACCACCTCTGCCTACTATTGTCGTGGGTGCCCACTAGCAGCTTTTTTGTCTTCTCCTTTTTTTCGATCCCTTCTCTCATTTTTCTTTTAAAATTTCAATATTGCTCTGTTTCTCCTCTGTTTTTTTTTTCCCATCTGCCTCTCTGGCTATGTTTCTGTGTGTGTTATTGTTTTGCATATAAATATTTTGATAGGGTAGTAATCTTTTTTTTCCTTTCTCTCTCTCTCTCTCTCTCTCTCTCTCTCCTCTCATTTCCCCTTTCCACCCTCAACAGTAATGATTTTCTCGTTACGGGTATCGTTGTTGAGGAATCTGAGGAGAGCTACTTGTCCTGGTTGTGAAAAAGAGGCAGTTATACAAGTAGCCTTGGTTGAAAAACAAGTCGTAGAAAGGAGGAGGATTAGAAGAAGAGGAACAAACAGAATCCCAAGTGCACGAGTGTGTTTGTGTTTTCATTGATGTGATCTTTGGAAATAAAAGACTAAATCTTTCTTTATTTCTCCGTATTTGGGTTCTGGGTTTTTCTCTTTTTGTTTGATTAGCCATCTTTTTTATTTCCCTTTTCCTGCTTTTGTTTGGGGTGTTTGTTTTTGTTGGTTTGTTTGTTCTGATGTCTCAACCAAGGCAATTTCAGATGGTGGGTAGTAACATTAATAATCCTGGCCAATACAATGACACAACTTTCACCAAAATCTTTGTTGGTGGGTTGGCTTGGGAGACTCAGAGGGAGACTATGAGAAGGTATTTTGAACAGTTTGGAGAGATCTTGGAGGCTGTTGTGATTACAGATAAGAACACTGGGAGGTCCAAGGGTTATGGATTTGTAAGCCCATTTTTGCCTCTCATTTTCAGAAGCTTATTTGTTCATTTGTTTCTTGGTTTTTCTGCTGGTTTTTATGGTTGTTTTCAATCTTTCAATTTCTTAGGTTACATTTAAGGATTCAGAGGCAGCCATGAGAGCATGTCAAAATCCATCCCCTGTGATTGATGGAAGGAGAGCAAATTGCAATCTTGCATCTCTTGGTGCACAAAAGACTCGTCCCCAAACTCCTCATCAGCAGCATGGTATCTCTCTCTCTCTCTCTCTCTCTCTCTCTCTCTCTCTCTCATACTATATGCTTTTTTTCTTTGATAAATCCCTTCCAATATACACTTTTATGAAATTGCATTGATCATATTTTAAAACCCATTTTCATTTTATACCAAATTGAAATGTGGATCTAAATACGGGGTAGGAATTGAAAAGAAAATGATGTATGTACTCATTTATTATGCTAATGCAGGTGCAGGAAGATTCAGACCAGCACATGGGTTGGTGGCTCCACCTGCTTATCATGGCTCTTCATCACCATACTTCCATCAACCAACTGGTCAATACACATTTCCTTATTCTGCTTATGGGTAAGATTCAAAATCATCATAGGAATAAAAGATGGACAAAATCCCCTTTTCTTTTCTGTTCAATGTCTGATTTTTCTTTTTTTTGTGTGTATGAAATTTCAATTTACAGGTACACTGGATATTCACAAGATTCCATGTATCCCATGGTAATTTTCTTTCATTTAAGTGACATTGCATAGATTTTACTCTATTTTTATTTCTTTTTGGGGAGCTCAATGTTGCAATGTTGATTCATGTTACCAATGCATAAACAATTTCATTGAATTGAGTTGTTTAAGCTGACTTTGATGGCAATGCATCTTGTTGCTTGCTGCAGAATTATTATAGTGTTTATGGTGGTCAACAATTCTCACCTTATTACACCACCACTGGGGCATCAGGGCCAACTGGCATGTACCAAAATGTCTACCCATTATATGCTCAGTATGCACAGAGCAGTAGCCAGGCTCATGGTCTTGGAGTTCAATATCCCCAAATGGTACAGTACCCATATTTGCCTCATCAGCCCTATGCTGCTGGTTCCACAGCTGGGATTCTCTCTCTTCCTTCTTCAATGCCAATTACCACCACCACAACTACCACCACAGGTAAATGTTATGTTTTTTAACCATACCTAGAAAATTACTTCATAGTAACAAGGCAAACATTAAGCTCCAGAGAATTTACAAATTACATGCAAAATGTCACAGGTACAACAACAGCAGCAGCAACTGGTGCTGGTGCTGGTGCTGGTGCTTCTTCACAAGCCTCTGCAGCCAATTCTGAACAGAATTCTTCAACTTAAATGTCTGCAGAGAGAGAAAAAAAAAAACAATGTCTTCTTTACAAGGCTAACCACATTGATAATGGGTTACAGAGTCAAAGTGCAAAAGGGAAGGGAAAATGTCAATAACAAAACCATAATAAGCTATCAATTTCAAAAGGGTGCCTAGCCTGCTGCAGAATACATATCAGCTGCCATGAGAAGAGATCAAAAGGGCATCCAAGTGATCAGCATTGGACGGTTCATCGCTTGCTCCACACTAACTTCATCATCTTCATCTTACATGGGTGGGTTAAGACAAATAGGGGAGTCTTATTTTCAAGTAGTTGTTAGCATTAGGAGAATTAAGAGTCATAATTTAATCATTCATGTATTGGCATCATGGGGTGGAAGCTAAATATTGGGCTTTGGATTCTGCCTCACACACTAATTACCAGTTGGGTTATGTGCCTCGGATGCATAGAGCATCCAATGACATAATACCGCTTGTTTATATTGGAAAGCAATCGGGTTTCAAAAGATTGGTTTTGTATCTTTGAAACCCAGCTTGGTCAAAGCTCTCGGATAGCTTTAGCTGGCCATTAACTTGTAATTTTCTTCGTTTTGGTCATTGTTCATGATTGATACTTTTCAAGATAGGATTAGTTGGAAAAAATAGAAGATTGTCTGTCTCTCTCATTTATAACTTTTTTTTTTCTTCGCAGATACTTTCGCTTTCAGTTTGGCAACTTGGCATTGTTTTCTTATTATGATTCTTCTTTTGCATGATCAAATTCAAATCACTTTTGGGCCTTGAATAATGTGCTTGGAATCCAAGGGGATCATCTTACAGAAAAAGGGGGGTCTACTGAGCTCTAGTAACTTTACTGTGTGCAAGTTTGTCATGCTGGTTGGTTGTTGTGCATGATTTGATTTGGAGGAAAATGAAACAAAGAGAAGATTTAAACTTTCTCAAGAACAAGTTTCATGTACCACACAAAATCACTCACATTAATAAGAATCATGATGATATGTTTCGTTGCTTGCCCAAAATTACATGAACATGCTTCAAAAGGGGTGGCTAATGGTATTGGCATATACAACACTGTTGTCAACAAATCCTCCTCCAAAAAAAAACAAACGATAGTCTAAACTATAAGGGGAGGGGGGTTTCTGACACACACTACACTACTAAAGTTCTATATGGGGTACGAATATGAAACCACTAGTTCTTTTCCACTTGACTAGAACCCGTTAGCACAAATCGTCCTCCTTAATCATGAAACTTAATCCACCTTCCAAAGATGGCTTGACAAATCTACATTCGGCTCCTTTGAAGCCAATTTTTGATTCAATAAACCAAAGTTCACTCTTTTTTTTTGGTCCAAAAGTTCACACTCTTTATAATAGCTTATAGACTTTACCATTGGCAAAAAAACAAAAAAACAAAAAAACTTCTAGACTTTACCAAATGGTGTACAAAGGAGACACTTCTTAACTTCATACGATTAATACATTTGACACATGCAAAAATAATTTATCAGAAACATAAAAACAACAACTTATGCACTCATATTAAACTCTGACTGATTGGAAAGCGAGACAAATATTTTCCAAATAAAAGGTTCAAATTGGAGTAAAGCTCAGCCCAAATTTTTTCGTTTTTAATATTTTCATTTCCCACTATAAGTTAGCCCATCTTTACTCTTTTAAATTTTTAAAGACGTGTTATTGTTTATGTTGAAGGGCTTTGAAGTCATTCTACAATAGTAGTTATTTCAAAAACAAAATTAAGTGGGTGTCCAGATATCATCTTTTTTTCTTTTGGTCTGATCCAGATAACATCTTGGGTTCTCCACAAAATCACTAGTCGTCCAAAGAAGAATTGGGCTGGGCTGGGCTTGCTTGACCCATATCAGTTTGCTACTAGATTGTGGGCCTTGGTCGTGGTGGAGCCCAATCTTGGGCTTCCAAATAATCAGGCGAGCCCATTTCAGTGTACCTTTAAAAACCCTGCCTCACTAGAAAATCAGGAACCCTAGAAGAGAAGTGTCGAGGTTTTGCAGCCGCGCAGCACTCTAAGCTCAGAGAGAAACCCGTCCATCTCAGATCTCATCTCTCTCAGGTAACTCTCTCCCTCTCTCTGTACCTCCCTCCCTCTGTACCGCCCTCTACCTTTAACTGGAACCCACTGTTAACTCTGATGAATACAATATTCAATTTTCGTGACGAAAGAAATAATTTTGGGTGTTGTTTGTTGGTTATAGTGAAAAACGATGTCAGTCTCAGAGCTTGCTTGCACTTACGCCGCCCTAGTCCTCCATGACGATGGCATCCCCATCACTGTATCCTTCGTTTATTACTGTTTTTATGTATTTGTGTTTAGCTTCCTCTCATATTTAGCATTTTATTTTAAGCTGGAAAAAATATAAGTTTTATGTGTGTTCATGTTTAGTCTTATTATGTGTTAAATTAATATGGGTTTGATTTTGTTTGAATCACTTGTGTTGTTTTGGGAAGCTGTGGTTCTCCTTAATTGGGTTGTAATAGGCTGAGAAGATTGCAACATTGGTGAAAGCTGCCAATGTCACAGTTGAGTCCTACTGGCCTGGATTGTTCGCTAAGCTCGCCGAGAAGCGAAACATTGAGGACCTTATTCTGAATGTCGGTGCCGGAGGGGGTGGTGGTGCAGTTGCTGTTGCCGCCCCAGGTGCAGGTGCCGCTGCCCCTGCTGCTGCTCCCGCAGCAGAGGAAAAGAAGGTATTGCATCATCATATTGTTTTTCATCAATTGCGTTTCTATTGATCGTTTAGTGGTTATCTGATTTGTTATTTTCGTTTTGTTGTTTTCCAATTTGATTTTACAGGAGGAACCCAAGGAAGAAAGTGATGACGATATGGGATTCAGCTTGTTTGATTAGGAGCTTCCTCCAAACAAGATATAGTCCACTTTTCAGTTTGCTGGTTTTTAGTACTTTTGAGACTAGTTAACCATATCAATGTAGTAGGGCTTTCTTTATTTTTGGCTTTTTGTTATGTATTTCTGATGGACAAATTGTTCAGAGTCTGGGGTTTCCTGCTGAGCACTATCATTTTGAACAATCTCATTTTGAGCTGATATAAAAGTATGTCCCCCATTTAATCTTAATTTGAATGGTTTGCAATGGTTTTTGAAATTTCTTTTGTTCGATGTGTTATGCTTGTTTGGTGTCGGATGATGGTATAACTGTCTGAGTTTCTTGGCATCGATTGCGAACCTGGGTCTTGTTTGATCACTGAGATCTTGTTTGGTCACTGAGAAATGCCATTAATTTTTTTAAGAAAAGGAACTTCTTTTGCCTTCTGTTTGGGGCAACCTTTGACATTGAAGAAGAGATTGTGAGGTGAATGCTACTCTCTGGTGCGGAAGGGTTGTTGGGGTGAGTGGTGTGGATGCTACTTTCATTTTGCTCATTTTAAAATGAGAGTTTGGTTACATGGGCAGGATTTTATCATCATTGGAAGAAAAGAAAATGGCACAAGCGCTTATCAATCTTCTATTGATTTCATTTGCCCTACCAGGCCGCTCGTTTTTTTTAATCAACCATCACCAAAGGTCTTCACAATTGGCCTATGAACAAGATTGCACAGAAGGTTTCACTTATTTTGGTCGAGAATTTTTACATTCATATGATGCACGCAAGGCGGTCTGTTTTGGGTGTGCAGAAATTTCTTTTATGTTAGTTCACAAAACTGATCAACTGCAGGTTGAACTTGCGTCTTTCATGGCGTTGCGATGTTTTCCTTGGCGAGTGGTGCAATTTCCTCACCATCGATCCCTGGTTCGCTGTCAGCAACACCCAAATTTAGCAGCACTTCCTCCCACTTCTTGGCAGGCCCCTGTGCCATCACGATTCAAATGGTTCAAGAATATGCGAATGTGATTCATTGTTAAAAGGATTATCATGTTAAGAAAGGTTTCTTACCTTCCATGATAAATCTTGAGCCATGCAGTTGCCTATGATCTCAGTAAAAGCTGGGGTTCCATAAGTTCCAAGGGCTCTTGTGACAGTAGTTGCAATCGCTTGTACATCCGCAGGATCAACAACTTCACACTGAAAGGAAATTTTGGAAACTTGAACTCACACAAAAGTAGAGAAGTTATCGTGTACAGAAAAAAAGGGTTGAAATCAATATATTTACTTCCACATTGAAACCTCCCATTTGAAATCCAGTGAATCCTTCTTTAACGGTGTCTACCAACCCACCAGTTGAGGCAACAATTGGCACCTGCACAAGCACAAGCACAGCGGTGAGTTAGTATTATTGCAAGAAGATGAAGATTTTGGAAGGAAGAAATTGTTGGAGGCAGGCATCTTACAGTTCCGTAACGCATGGCATGCAACTGAATGAGACCGCAAGGCTCAAATCTGCTCGGAACCAACATAAAATCAGCTCCGGCTGTTATCATATGGGCCAGAGGAACATTGAACTTTGCTACTCCCCGGGCTTTGTCAGGGTATTTTATCTCCAACTGTTCAAGCTGCTTCTCCATCGGCTTTTTGCCAGTCCCCTGAGGAAATTGCAGAATGCACATGAGGATAGTATACAGGTTGGTTATAGTGATACAACAAGCATTATGCAAGAAAATGAGAGAAACAACTTCCATGTTCAGTACTTACGAGGACTATGATCTGAACATTCTCTTTGATAAAATGGGGAATGGCTTCTATCAGAATATCTGAACCTTTCTGCTCTTCAAGCCTACCAATGAAACCTATGACAGGGATGTCACTGTCCACTGGCAATCCCACTTCTGCTTGGAGGGCTTCTTTCAACAGAGGCTTTGCATCTGTCACCTAAGCAAAGCCAAATTTTTCAAACGATATTGCATCTTAAAATCAAAGAAGTTATACAGAGTGCTTGCTGGTCATGGAAGTTAATGCATGATAACTAATGTTCTTACAGTTGAAGCATCATATTTGGCAGCTGTATACTTGTCAGTCAATGGATTCCACTCCTGGACGTCCATGCCATTCACAATTCCAAGAATTCCAGCTTTCCGAATAATGTTGTCCAATTCGACTCCTTTTTCAACTGTAGAAACTAGTTCTTCAGCATAGTATGGGCTAACAGTCAAGACCTTGTCTGATTCTTAAATTCCAGCTTTCATCCAGTTAATTTTCCTCCCCTTCACTGGCTTGTCATAGCTGTGGAATTGGACCAATCATACTCAAGGTTCAATCATATAATAGTATGCAGTCTATGCTATATTCTGTACAAAGAAACCCTACCCATCAATGAAATCAAAGGAGCTTTTGAATTCATCTGGCAGATTGAGAAGTGCGAAGTCTGCGAATGCGAATCTGCCTTGATAAGCAATGTTGTGAATGCAAAAGGCTACCTGTCAACAAGATTGGCAAAATAACTGGTTTTTAAGGACTCACAGCTGACTGGAATACTTATTAGTTTCAAAACAAATGAACTGGTCACCTACTTTAGCACTCTTGTATATGCCTTTAGATTGGTATATGGCTTTCAGGTAGCATGGGAGGAGGGCAGTGTGCCAATCGTTGGCAATGAAAACGACTTCTTCTCCTGTGTGCAGAAATGCCATAGTACCAATGTAACAAATATTTTAAACAGTAGTGTTGGTTTGGAGAACTGCAGTTTAGATTGCCTACCATATGGTCCCGAAAAATATTTGCTGCTGTTAAGGTTCAGAACTCTTGGTGCTTCTAGAGCTGCCTAAAACATACAATTTATACAATCATGAGAATATAAGCATAAAATTGTTGGGGGTCAAAAAAGAGAGAAGAATCTGTAAATAAAGCTAGACTGATGCAAGGATATAGGAATATACGATGCAAGGACTGACTGATGTACAAATGAAGATTACATGGAAACTAAGTGCATATTTGATCTAAGAATTAATTTACAGAATAATTTCCAGGGGATTAACTTGAATAGAAAAAGCAACCCAAACGTTAGGCCGCGCTTGATCTGTATTAGTTAGTTGTCGATTCTTTTTGGGGTTTTGTACCCCCTATCTCATAAAAAAAAAAAAAAGAAAAAAAAAAAAAAAGAAGCAACCCTGAAGATGGACCTGGCATAGCAGGCTGAATCTAAGTTGGTTGTCCTTGAAATCCTCTCCAGTAATGGGTCCGTAGATTTTGGATGCAGTTTTTCCCCAAACCTGAAACACCAGTCATCAAGCGGAAAACTTTCCTCTTTTCCAGCTAACAAAAACTATTGGAAAGGAAGAACATTGATTCACAAGACCAACCTTCTCAAGAAACAGTGGGTGATCCACAAACACACGATCAACTCCTCTTTTGTAGCAATGAAAGAAGCGAACCTTTTCAGTTTTTGCTCCCACCTTAACCTAAATAGCAGAGATATAAATCATTTCACCATAACCAAACAAAATTCATTGTCCTCCCATTTAAATATGAACGTTATACAATTGATAATATACACAACCTCAATTGTAACTTCTGTATCCCATGCATCTTTGTACTGGTCGTATCTCGGAGAAACAGTCATCACTCGATGGCCATTTGCCTGAAGAAGAATTAATTTGCTTGTTATAGTATCATTGATTATAAGAAATGAATTATAAGGCAAGAGAGGAAGCAGAAGCTTACTGCCATAGCTGGTGGCAGGCCTCCAAGAACGTCTCCAAGTCCACCAGTTTTGCTCCATGGGCCAACTTCTGTTCCCAGAAACACTAAATTCATCCCACTTCCACAAACAATGGTTCCTGCCGGTCTTGAACCAGTCCTAGTACTGTTGAAAGATTTGCTCCTTGCTTGCCTTGCAATTGAATTTCCCATGATTTTGACGCGGAGCTCGTCCACTGTGTTCAAAGCTCTTAACCCATTGTGAGTCATGGCCTGTTTTCCAAAACCCATTTTCTTATATCCCGTTTTAGGCTCTGATACAGAAGATACAGCGCCATAGCTGACATGGGAACTTGTTGAGGCAAAGCTTGAAGCAGTGACAGTTGCCATTATTAATTATTGGTGATGTTATGTTCTGTAAAAAGAGCGAACATAAAACACAAAATGCATAACAAATCAAATCCAATAACAAGATTAGAAGCAAGCAATAAACAAAGCAAAACTGAGTACCTAGCCAGCCACAAGCTGCAGTGAGTGTGTTCTTTCTTCTTCTGAAAATGATGAGGAAGGAGCTGCACTTGCACTTTGTGGTGGTTTTTAAGCAATTAAGCCAGAGGGTGTAGTTGTACTTTCCAGTTTGCAAAAGGTCACTGAACTCATGGTTGAGGGGTTTGAAATGCCCAGAACCTCAAGATTCATTAGCGGTGTACAGAGTGCGAGAGACTAGGACTCATGGGACCAACCAGTTGCATAATAAGAGAACAGAGCAGAATATGCCTAAAGATATTTGTTTTTGTCGTCTGCAAATTGCTCTCAATTATCAAATCCATTATCCACCTTTGGAGTAGAGTCCAACAACAAGACGGGGAAACAGCTTTAATTTGTCTCCCTTCTCACTACTTGGCCGCATTGGACATAGTATTTTTGCATTTGTATACCTGATACGCTAATATCTATGCGTAAAGATATAGTTTTGTGGTTATTGTCAATTCTAGCTGAAGCCTATCTCGACAACAACCCCGCATCGTTACCAAAGTGATGGCAAGTCTGCAACCACTGTTAGTCACGTTGTTCCAAATAAAACGACATGTCGTCATTTTACTCTCCTTCCCAATTTTGTTTGACGAAACGACATGGCAGACATACTCGCCCGCTTACAAGTCATAACAAGCGGAGGCGGAAGAAGATGACCATATGAAGCAGTAGCAGCCAGTGGCGGATCCAGGATTCTCGGGCCACGGGTCACAAATTAAAAACTTTGAAATTTTTTTAGAAGAAAATAACACTAGAAAAACAGAAAAATAGTTTCCAACCAAATTTCAATTGTACACGACGAGTTCTCTTTTAAAAACTTTGTATTATAATTTCATAAATCATTTATTTTTTAATTGATTGTTTTGAAGCTTAAAAGTACGGAGGTATTCAATTAGGATTTTTAAGTAATCAATAAAAATCTGGTGGTATTCAATTCGAATTTTTTTAATAATCAATACAAGTCTGTTGGTATTCAATTAGGACTTTTAAAATATAAGAAAAAGTACCGTGGTATTCAAAAACTTACTGATTTTGAGGTATTAAATGATGTATTGTGCGAGACTTCCAAATCTCATCTTCCTATGCCTGATTCTCATATATGCTCTCATACTTTTTTTTTCTCCCACTATTTTTGTATGCTTTCGACTGTACATAAAAAAAAAATTTCATAAGAGAGACGATAAAGAAACATTAACAAGAAAGACGATATTGCCTCTTCTAGAGCTAATGGGCATTTTCCAATAGCTCTTCTTTCCTTGTAGACAAGCTTATTTGGAGCAAAATTATATTTTCGATACTTTTTTTTTAAGAATCTCCTCTCATTGTAGACATTTCCTCACAAGGAGTTGTAGCTCTCCACAACTCTACCAGTGTGCCCACAAGTTGCTTGATCTAATGCCTCAAAGAGGCCTTTTTATTTATTTATTTATTTATGGTGAACCATGATCACGCCGTAATGCTGTAGCTGAAAGGGTCCTGGTAATGGGATTGTTAGCATCGACATTGAAGTATCCCAATGTGGTGGAGCCTCTCCGAACACCCTCAAGCCTCATGGGTTGAGCAGCAGCACCTTCTTCCCAATGCAAAGCAGTAGAAGCTTGCTTCTTCTCTAGCTCTTCAGCAATTTCGAGAGGCTTTTGCAATTTCTTGTCAGCTTTTTTACTAATCCTCCTGCTCTCCAACTGCCCAATTCTCTCCTCCACAAGTTGAGTGATTGAACTTCCCAATTCACCATCATCATCTATATCACGATCATTATTATTGTCATCATCACCACCACCACCACCCTCACCGTCATTATCATTACCGCCACCACCACCATCACCAAGACGCTCCTCCTCACTATCATTATGTTTGGAACCAGGACTGTTTTCATCTATATCTTGTATTTCTGGTTGACATTCCTCTACAACCTCAACATTATTGTTAAATTCATTATCTTTAACATCATTTGCATCTAAATTTGTCAAATTCTCATCAAAACTAACATTTTTCACTTCTTCCGGAGCATTCCCAGAACTTACTTCAATACCTTGAGACGTTTCCTCTAACTCTCTCTCCCTCTCCCAAACTCTACCTTTTCTCAACAATTCATCACCAAAGTCCACTTCTCCTTCATTCGAATTTGACTCAGTCACTTCAGAACTTCCTACATTCGTATCACTATTAGAATTGGACCCTGCCTCAGATTTATCATCCAATTTCGTACTCTCCAGAACCTTCTGGAAAATTCCACTCTCAGCACTCCTCTTCGATTTGATCGCTGCCGCGTGCGGCGTAGACATCGACCTCGAGGCCGCCACAGCAGCCGTGAGCGCCGCCCCTGGCTTCGCATTTGTTCTCATGCCTCCAAGCAACCATGGCGACGGCTTCAAAACCTTTCCGACCGGATTGTCCGATAACTCGCCTGACTTGACCCGAGTGTACAAATTGGGCCTCGGCCGGACTTGACTGGACTCGTCGGATTTAGCGCTGGAGACTGATACGGCGTCGGTGGGCAGATGTGGTGGTTTGGGATCAGATGCGAGACGGTGGATAGTGGAGGGCGGGGACAATGACGCGGACGAATCGGAGTCGTTGAGGATTTCGTCGATCGTACGGTGAGGGACAGAATTAAAGTTGTCGTCGTCGTCTTCATCGGAGAGGGAAAGGTGTGAGTTGAGGAAGGAGTCGAGGTCGAGTTCCATGGCAAGTTGTGGTTCAAATTGAGTCAGCTTCTTGGTCATGCTAGTGCAGCCAAGCTGCTGCTGCTAAATAGTCACTGGAAGAAGAGCCACAGACAGAGAATTCGACTGGAGAGGGGGAAAAAGAGTGTATCTTTGATTCGTGCTGTGTCGTGAGCTAGTCTTTTTTTAGTTTTTTTTTTAGTTTTTTTTTTAGTTTTTTTTTTTTTTTTTTTTTTTTTTTTTTCCCTGATAGCCTATTTTGCTTTGAAAACAACATAAAAATATAAGTGGGGGACGCTAATACAGCAAACATGTTATATTATATGTAGTTTTTTTTTTTTTTTGAAAAGAAAATGAGAGGTATTGTAGTTTATATGTAGTCTCTATACATTATAATTTTATTCTTTATAAAAAAATGATACTCTTTTAGATAAGACATAAACAAAAGTGCCTAAGGGGATGTATTCAATTGAGATTTTAATAGATTGTAATTACATGATTTTAATGTAATGGATTTCAGCTGGATTTGTAATAATATGATTTTGCTCATGATTTTAGTAGATTGCAATTACATGATTTTACTTATGATTTTAATTCTCTTAGGATTTTACTAATTATTTTAATAGATTGAAATTACATGATTTTACTTATATTTCTATTCAAGCTTGAACTCTATCACCCATTATCAGTCACCTAAATACATAACTTGAAAGAATATACCCAATTTTTAGGATACAGATACCCAATTTTTAGGATTAATACAAAGATGGAGGCACAGTAACCATCAAATGTTAGTCCACGGAGAGTACACCGACATCAACAATGTAACTCCCAACATAGCCATACATCGCCAGAATGAATACGTTAAAGAAACACAACACAACTGAGAAACCAACAATAGAAATACAAAAGCAATAGTAGAGGCTAGAAGTTACATCCAAAACCACCAACACCTAACGCAAAACTGATAACAGGGTGGTTGCGGTTCGGTAACCGCGAATTTTTACTCAAACCGCAAACCGACCGACTATTTGCGGTTTGGTGATTTTTGAAACCGCAAAATGCGGTCGGTTACCGCGAATTAGCGGTTTAAAACCGCGAGTTCTCAAGCATTCACAAAAATATAAATTCACAACCTAAATAAATAAATACACAACCTCAATTTCTCAAACATATATAAATTCACAATCTCATCAACTTCTCAAGCATTCACAACCTAAGAAAATTAAAGTTACAATTCCAAGCATTCCAATTCCAAATCCTTTAAAGTTATAAACAAAAAGGAAAATGCAAAGTAAAATGAATTAAAGTTACAACAAAAAAGAAAAATCCAATTCAAAGTTAATTAAAGTTACAAACTAAAAGGAAAATGCAATGCACCAATGTTAGAAACTAAAGTTACAAACTCAAGTGTTGGTGGTGAGTGGATTGAAGAACCCCGTTGTGTTGTTTGAGCACCAATATTATCTACAAATAAAACAATATAGTTTAATACATTTTATTATAAGAAGAAGCATAAATAACATTAGCATAAATAAACTAATTACTTACAAGTTGTCATATGTTCTATTTCCTTGTAAAATTCAACTTCATCATCCGTGTGGCTATACTTTGCGGTTTGCGGTAACCGCAAGTTTTGAAAATCAAATACCGCAACCGCAACCGCAAATGCGGTTCGGTTCTTAATACCGCAAATGCGGTTCGGTTTACCGCGATTGCGGTTTTATTGCGGTAAATTGTCGGTTGGTTTTTGCGGTTTTTCGGTTTAAAATGCCACCCCTAGATAACATCATAAATACAAAATAAAGAAACATACTGAAAACTCCTAGCCCAACCCCATGACTACTAGTTTGTCAAAGCTTGGACCAAAACTGTGGAGTGAAAAAAACACCTTGCACCTTATCAACGTTTCTTCTAGATTGTGGGTAAGGCTTCTTCTTTCTTTTTTTTGCTTTGTCTTGGCCCCAAACGTTTTGGGACAGGGAATTAGAAAAAATATTTAGCACTACACAAGTTGCTTGATAGTAAAAAAGCTGACAAGAAATTGCAGAAGCCTCTCGAAATTACTGAAGAGCTAGAGAAGAGGCAAGCTTCTACTGCTTTGCATTGGGAAGAAGGTGCTGCTGCTCAACCCATGAGGCTTGAGGGTGTTCGGAGAGGCTCCACCACATTGGGATACTTCAATGTCGATGCTAACAATCCCATTACGAGGACCCTTTCAGCTCCAGCATTACGGCGTGATCATGGTTCACCACAAGTCTTGGCGGGTCATAGCAATTACATTGCAATAGGAATGGCAAGAGGTGCTATTCTTGTTATCCCTAGCAAATACTCTGCTCATAATGCTGATATCATGGATGCAAAGGTTACCTTCCATTCCTATGTTTTAGTTTTAACTTCCTATGATAGAGAGATAGGTGACTGCATGTTAACAAACTATGCTATATATGTTCCAGATGCTAATTCTTGGATTGCAAGGAGAACGATCTTATGCTGCAGTGACTTCTATATGCTTCAATCAGCAAGGGGACCTGCTCTTAGCGGGTTATGCTGATGGTCACATTACAGTTTGGGATGTACAGAGGTCATCGGTTGCTAAAGTAATTACTGGAGAACATACAGCTCCAGTTGTACATACATTGTTTTTGGGGCAGGATTCTCAAGTTACACGTCAATTTAAGGCAGTTACCGGTGATAGTAAGG